CCAACGGACCGACTGACCATCCAACGGACCGACTGACCATCCAACGGACCGACTGACCATCCAACGGACCGACTGACCATCCAACGGACCGACCGACCATCCAACCGACCGACCAGCCATCCATCCAACCGACCGACCAGCCATCCATCCAACCGACCATCCAACCAACCGACCATCCATCCAACGGACCAACCGACCATCCATCCAACGGACCAACCAACGAACCAACCAACGGACCAACCATCCAACCAACCAACCAACCGACGGACCAACCATCCAACCGACCGACCAACCATCCAACCAACCATCCATTTATCTATCTATCATGTTAGTCCATCCATCCATCCAACCATTTCTGTCCTCTAGTTTGTCTGTTTTTTATCAAGCCACCCATTATTTTCATCCATAACTTCATTTATTTCTTCACTTTTCCTCCCATCATCCACAATCTGTAGAAACCCAGTAAAAGCAGCAAGAGAAGACAAACAATACGGCTCAGGGGTTTTCTTTATTACTTAGTTTTAAGCAGAAAACTGCTGAGTTTTAGAGAAAATTCTCACCTAATTCTGATAACTCGGATGCAGAAACAAAAGAACCAGTCAGTGTCAAATGTGCATCACAAAAAACCCTCCAACCTCACCTACGTCCCTCCTACCGTCTTCTTCTCTTGCCATTCATTTTCTCCAGGACAGAGACGATCATTTAGTCCAGCTAAAGGCCAGTTGGTGTGAAGAGAGGCTGTTTAAATGGCATCTTGTGTTGCTGCTCTGAAAGGAAGGAGCCATTAGTGTTGGGTTACTGTGAAAGTCCACACAGTGTCACCTTTCTGGAAGATTTATTACCTTCACAGCCTTAAAAATGGAGAAATTATGATGCAACACATTTATTCTGATAACTGACCGCATCATTTGCACATTTACGTTGCCGATTCTCTGCAGAAACGCTTGTGCTGTGGTCAAACTGGACCATTGTATTCCAGTTTGCTGGCTGGTGCCCGTGGGTGGGAGAAGGGTGCAGTGTTGAGCGCGAGCGGTGGAAGGCTGGTACAAGACCACTTATCATCCAAAGAGCCTTTTAACAAAGCAACGCCACAATGTCCATCTCCACCGCCCGCGCCTGCAACAAAAGGCTCTCTGAAGCCCACCATGTTTGGCCTCGCTCACCCTGCTGACCTCAGTGCACCTCCTCCGTTCTCCGTCTTTACGTAATTTAACTGCATGGTGGAAATGTTAGCAACTGGTGCTGCAGGTTTAAATAACGTCTAAAATCATTTTATCCTTTGGGGAAGTGAGTAGCACTTCTGTGTGCAAAGCTGAACAGACCTTGAAAGAAACTGATAAGCTGCTGCAGGAATGAGAAGTATCTTCTTTAGAGTTGCATGTTTAAGCATCTTGCTAGTTTTGTAGCAGAAGGGAAAATGACAGATGAAGTCATTGCTTTAACAACCATCACTTCTCATGCGTCCCTCTGGACTGGAGAGGGACACAAACCAGTCCAGCAAAAAAACTCCAACACTTTTGGTGTGAAATCGTACGTAATTTGACCCATGCAGTTCATATTTACGAATTTTATTCTTATTTTTCAAGATGGCCACCATGGTTGTGGTTGAAAATTAATTTTTTGCACTAAATTAGATGAATGTCCTTGGTGTCAAATCATAGCCTACCTGAAATCATAGAAATCAGAAATATTTCCTTGATCTCATGTTTAATTTTCTAGTGGAGATTTTTCAAAATGGCCGCAGTGGTTGTAAAGGAAGATACATGTTTAAAATCTGCAGTAGTTATTCTCAGAAAGTTACATTCAGTAACCACTAGTTCATTTAACAAGAATCTTAGCTGTTCTAACATTAAACCGCCACAAAAATGGTTGCTTTATGCTAAACGCATGAAACATTAGCAGACGCTAACGCTAAACCGCGAAACAAAATATTTTGTATCACTATTGCTTTTGTTTGCTTTTATATTTCATTTTTTGTTTGAATATAATTTTTTTTATTTTACTGCACTACATTCAATAAAGTCAAAGCTGAAACCCGGTGCTAATTAATACTTAAATAAATTAACAGCAGCTAACGCTAAGCACTAGCACAACCGTCTGTCACATATTTTTATCTCTTCCAAATTGATGACTGAATAAAATAAACTAAAAACGGATAAAACACAAACATACTTGCGTCAGTGCTGTTCATACTTTTTGCCAAATTGCATTATTTTTGTTCTTATTTTTAATTTTTTTTCCATAAATAGCATCTTGCTTTACTTGAAACTTTTAAATCTACAGTTTTCTAAAGCATAAAGTTTTAGGATGATGCAAGGAAAAGCATCTGCTGGCTGACTCGCTCCTCCGCAGCGATCTGCTGCTCCTGCCGTCCGTTACTAGCTGTAAAACAGATCCGCGCTCTGCTTCCAGTCATGTTAGCAGCAGAGCAGCAACTGCCAGGAGCCACACACACACACACACACACAGGCATGCATGATGAAATATGACATCTGACTCTACTGCCTGAGCAGAGCGTCTCATGTTGGGGGGTTTCGGTCCCGAGGGGCTGCAGCGCTCAGCCCTGCATGCCAGTTCTGGTCTGCAGAAACACGAGGCCGTAAACGGACACCAGGGTTCACATAATCCCCTCCCTGACCAGGCTGCAGACGTGAGCAGGTGGACTGATGGTTCCTTAAAATACATGTATTTGCCGATTGATGATTTATTAGATTAAAATTAAGTCCAGTTGATTCAGTAATAAAGTCCGTTAGGACGTCTGTTAGTGTTGTAGTTTGGCCGCCATCCAGCAGAGGGCGCTGCTGGTAGCGGAGCAGAACAAAAATGGCGGATGGTGCATTTTTTAAACAACAAAGGCTGAAGTGTTGAAATGTAAAATCTGTAGAATGTGGCAATTTGCTTATCCAGTTAATCGATCAGTTGTCAAAATAATCAATAACTAAAGTAATCATTAGTTGCAGATAAATCTGAGCTACATTTAATTCCTGGCTGCCTTTATAGCAACAGGCTACCCTCTTAGAAAAACAGTGTCTTCAGTCAGAGGCTTCTTCAAATCCGCTGTAATACAGACTGCTACAGCCGTTTCCATCTACAATAACTCAGATTAATTCAGATTCCTCAGATTTACAACATTTAATTTTCCTTTGGGGTTAATAAAGTGTTTGATCATCTTAAAGCTGTTTACTGTGGCCTGTTTTGGCTTTTCAGTGCAGATTTAGATTTTATTGCTTCAGGAAACAAAAACAATAGAACCGTATCGTGTAAAACACTGAAGTCGAACATGTTCAAACCGTTGTGGTCGGTTTGCATAATTCCACGAATTATGCAAACTTTGGATAATTTGCATGGCTGAACATTTAGCTGAAATCAGTTATTTTATTTCACTTTCTTTGCGTTCAGCTTTTCGACCGGGTGAGGGAGGAGAACCCCGACTTCCACCAGAAGATCGTCCCGATCAGCAGCGAGCTGACGCAGCCCGGCCTGTCCATCAGCGCGGCGGACGTGGAGCGGCTCACCGCCTGCGTCAACATCGTCTTCCACTGCGCCGCCACCATCCGCTTCGACGAGCCGCTCAAGTAAGAGCCGCAGGAGCTTCTTCCTGTTGTGGATGTGCCGTTTGATTGGCTTCACAGAGAAGGGGAAGAGAGCGGGATGTGGATGTGAAATCAATGGTTTGTAAAACAAAAGAAGCCATCAGCGGCAGGCAGCGTGACGGTTTACCCAACAAATCAGGCTTCCTGCTTTGGTCAGGAGTTTGCAACAAACAGTGATTCATTGTTTGAGGTCAGAATGAGAAAGTATTTCATGGTTTCCTGTTTCAGCTTCGTGCTGCAGAAACATTCAGGGGAAACTCGCTGGGCGGTGTTGTTTAAAGATAAAACATCACTTTTTTCATTTCCAATTTTATTTGGAAAGGAGAAGAAATTACAAATGGCTGGTTTTTAAATTCAAGTTTCATGTTTACATCATAAAAACACAAAGTCAGGACACAGTCAACAAAAGCAATCTGTCATTTTAGTGATTTTATTTATGTTCATTTTCTTTAAAATAGCAGAATTTGGACAAAACTTTACATTTTTGTCCGTCTGACGTAATTTTTAGATATTAAATAATTATTTTTAACGTGAGAAAGTTATATACCAAAAACGTTTTTACTCAAGTAGTTTGTTGGACAGTTACTTTCTAGTTTTACTTCAGTAGAAATATGAAGAAGTAAAGCTACTTTAGAAAACTCTGCCCATTTGTTTACAGGTAAACAAATAAGCATTTCTGAAAAATTTGAGAGAGAAAAACTCAGAAATGTTGATATTATTGTTGTAAAAGTTCAAGACTTCTGAGTTTGAAGTTGAAAGTTTGCGAGTAACAAAACTTCAGTGAAGCCGTTTCTGTCCAGTTGTTTCATCTTCATGGGATAATTTACAGAGGAATAAATGAGTTTTTATCAAAACATTTAGAACTAATTCTTTTGGAATAGCAACAATTTAACATAACAGCAAACACAAATATTGCTCTTTTAAAACTTTCCCATTTGTAATAATAATCCTTAAAACACCAGTGACAAAGAGAAGTGATTTAACTATTTGATCAGTTATTGATGCTTTCATTGAGCAAACAGTGGAGAAAAACAGTAAAACATTAAAAAAACATTAATTGGCAACAATAATTCCTACAAATTTATCACGATAATGTTGAATACAGATAAAAAGCTTCTAAGATGTGTTGTTTTCCATGCATTGAAAAATAGAGGTAATAAAGTGGGACTTATTTTTCCTGCGTTGTTTTTTGGTGATTTTCTGGAGGCTGAGTTCACCTAAAAGCTGCTCTGCTCTCCCATCGATCTCCTCCGGCCGTCCAGCTCTGTAGGTGTTGATTTTCTCTTTTTGAGGTTTTTATCGTCTGCTAGTCGTTTCCATCCGACTGCAGCTCCCCGTAGCGCCATAGTTGCTCTGCAGGGTCCCATAATAAGCCCAGAGCTGCTTTAGGGCTCGTTTCTCTCCATGAATCCATCCTGCAGATCTGCTGAAGATGAACCAGGCCCTCTGGCAGGCGAGATAATCTGAAATTAAGAGCTGTTTTAGGGCGTTTTCACACCTGGTAGTACCGTAGATTTGGTTTGATTGGGGACAGAAATAGAAATATTTGTTGCATTTTCAGTTGCTGTGATTCACTTTCACGCCACCCGTTCCCCTCCTAGCCTGCGGGGGCGCTGCACCAAGAACCACTGAAGGCAACGGCATGAAAACCTCAGTAGAAGACAACTCCGTTCTTCTTGAAATATAAACAAATATAGATTAGCATCAGATTTTAGAGGATTTCTCTTTTGTCTTTGAGATGATGAAAAATTTAAAATGGATATAATTTTATGTATTTACTGGGTTTTATATTTATGCCTTCCTAGAAGAAGATGATTGTATCCCTTTCTATGACATGAACAGCATTTTTCAGCATGGGGCCGTGGCCCCTCCAATCCCCCTATTGGGGTCGCCACTGAATAACGAGACTAAAAAATAAAACAAACACCTTCATCACCAAAACAACAAGCAGCTGCAGTTTTTCCATTAAAAGCATCATTTAAACATAGTTATTGTCACTTCAGCAAAAATTTATTTTTCTAACCTCCTGCAGCTGCTGGCTGTGCTGCAGACCCAAACTGAAGCAGTCAGTGGAGACTTGGCTTAAGCTGACTGTATGATGGTAGAAACGACAGGTTTGTTCTTTTCAATCAGCTTCAGAGTCGGTTGTTGCATCACAGCAGCAAAGACAGATGGGAGGTGACTCAGCTGCAGGAAGACGGTCTGCGGTCGGTTTGTCCGTCTTCCTCCCTGCACCCGCCTGCAGGGGGAGCGGACGCCCACATGCGCTCTCCTCTTCCTGTCGCCCACCTGGAGCCGCCACGTTTTCCCTCACAGCCGCATTTACCCGCCTCGTTCAGGACCAAACTGAATAAAACAAACTGGACCAGATTACATCAGGTTTATTAGCCTCAGCCAGGCGGCTGAATTATTAAAAACTGACCCAATAATTCACTTCAAATTACCAGAATCAGTTTTATGCTTGTTTGTTCTTTTCTAGTCAGTAGAAATATGTGATGGCATGTTAGAGCAATTGTAGAAAAAAAAGAGTAAATTTGCTAGAAAAAATTATTTTAATCTCAGAAATTTTCTCAAATAAAACTTTGAAATTTCTGAGTTTGAAAAGTTGAAAGTTTGCAGGAAACGACTCAAAATTGTTTTAATTTTCTGGTAAAAAAGAGAAATAAGTTTGCTAAGAAAAAACCTCACATGTTGAGATTATTCTCAGACATTTTCTAGAAAAAAAAACCTAAAATTTCCTTTTTCCTTTTTCTTTTGGGTTAAATTAGCATTTTGTTCTTGGGCCAAAACCTAAAGTTTTGTTGTATTTTATTTTACCTTTTCCCTGCTCTAGCATGTAGAATACCTTCACATAACGGTAATAAATGACCCCATCGATTGAAATATTTGCTCTGTTTTTATCTCCACAGTTTGGTTCTGGAAAAGTTTGACAATGTACTTTGAAAAGTCCTTGAATTTTATTGTTGGAAAAAAGTTCAAACCCTGATTAAATGTAAAATATGACATATTTTTGCATTTTCAATGCGGCAGAAGAATAAAATATTTTGACTTGACTGAGCTAAAAGGACCAATTGGTGAAAACGCAGAGCCCAACATATTGCTGGATGCATTAAATGTCGTGTTGCTCAACATTTAAAGTGTTTTCTCTGCACAGCGAAGCTTAAAGCCGTCGGCAAACAAACATCCAGAGACGTTAAACTTCTCCTCTCCCACACAGAGTCACAGCTGCTCAACCTTTCCCTCCTCCACACATTTAGCGCCGCGTCTCTCTCTCTCGCCGTCCTGCAGGCACGCCCTGCAGCTGAACGTGATCGCCACGCAGCAGCTCCTCAGCCTGGCGCAGCAGATGCACCACCTCGAGGCCTTCATTCACATCTCCACCGCCTATGCAAACTGCAACCGCCGGCACATCGACGAGATCATCTACCCGCCGCCGGTCGAGCCCAAGAAGCTCATCGAGTCCGTCGAGTGAGTCCGTCGCTCCGATTAATCCAATTAATCGCAATTAGCTGGAGTATTCAGACTTTAAAAAGGCCATTTGTTGAAAGAACAAAATACTGAGAGCAGTAATTAAGCCAAAAAATGTAGAAAAATCTCTACATTTTGCATTAAGATAAAAAATAGATCTACCCAGAACTGAGTGGCAGATTTAGATTCCTGGTTCAAAAAAAAAAAAAAACATTTTTAAAAAATCTCCTTTTGAGGATCTTTTTCTAATTAATCCAAAAACTAATCAACAGATCGGTTCTACAGTGAGCGGAAAGGCCCGAGCTTTTCACATTAAAAGTATTTTTATCCTTTGTTACAAATGAACACACATTCACTAAAAGAAAGTCTTACTATTGCATTAAAATGTTTATTTACTTATTTAAAAAATGAATTAAGTTATTGGTATGTTTGCGTTTCTCTAACGTAAATAGAAGCTAAATTTGCTGCTTTAGGAGTTTTGAGTTGAACATATTTATAGACGATGAATATTTTTATCTTAAATGCAAAATGTACAAATTATTTCTACAGTTTTGGTTTAATTGTTGCTCTTAATGTGTTTGTCTTTCAGGAAATGCCTTTTTTAGTCTGAATTCTCCAGTTAGTGATTGATTGATTACTAAATTAGTTGGCAATTATTTTAATAATCACAATTAATCTGATTAATTGTTTCAGCCAGACTTTTGTCGACTTTCTTTAATATTTTTAGGAAAAACTCTTTAAACATGCAGATACAGTTTTTGACTTTTTTTGAGTCTATAATCCATTAATTGATTAGTTGAGTATTATTCCAATTAATCACGATTAATCGTTTCAACTCTACTATAAATATGTCAGATACATTTTTGTTATGGTTTCTGGTTTTCTGCCCTGCCTTAAAGCTTTCTGTGGTTCTTTTGGAGGTTTTTTGAATTCCTGGTTGTGGTTTCAGGTGGATGGACGACGGCATCATGCGCGACATCACGCCGCGGCTCATCGGCGACCGGCCCAACACGTACACGTACACCAAAGCCCTGGCGGAGTGCGTGGTGCAGCAGGAGCAGGACAAGCTGAACGTTGGCATCATCAGGCCCTCCATAGTGGGAGCCAGCTGGCAGGAACCTTTCCCCGTAGGTCACAGAGCAACTATTACTGCAACATCCAGAACGGAGGATCGATGTTTAAATTAAGTCCAGAATAAACCAGAAACCTGAGATATCGATCCAAACAGCTTGTATAATATAAGAATAAAATAATATGTTTGTATTTATTAGTGAGATTTTGGCTGGCAAAGACAAATGAATGAATAAAAAATGTTTTTAAAAAAACTACACAAATAATAAAAAGGTAAGTTAAATTAACAGAAATGATAAATTATTTCCTGTAATAATAAACAAATTAATTTAAAATTGAAGATGAATTAATGTTTAAAACAATAAATAGAAATTATCTTTAAAAAAATCTAAAAAAAAATGTAATATAAATATTAAAAATATTAAAACAACAATTTTCTGAATAAACAAAAAATATTAAAACCTTTATTTTAAAAATAAATGACAAATTATAAACATTAATATTTGAAAGAATAAAAATTGATCAGCCTGTAGTTGGCAGCGACAAAAGACCCTAAAAATGAATAAATATAAAATAAAATACATATACGATAAAAACAATAAGTCCAACTAAGAGACATAATCACATATTTTATTTAGTAAAATATGAATTACCAAAACAATTAAGAAATTAATCAAAAGCAAATTCAAACTGACAAAAATAAATCAATATTTAAAAATATAAATAGAAAAAATGGATATTAACGTTATAATATACAGAACTTTAATTGAAAATTACATAAATAAAAATGTGTGTTTGAATAAGTTTTGTATAATTTTGTTGGTGGTTCTGATCCGCGTCTTCAAACGGGCCGGCTCTCGCTGCAGCTTCTTGTTTAGACGCCTGTTTGTGTGCGTGGTGTTAATTTGGCCCCCAGGGGTCCCTCCACACATGTAGCAGTCTGTTAGCAGCGCTTTCATCCATTTTTAATGGAGTCTAAGTGAAGCTGACGAGCGCTGCTCCCCGCCGCAAACACCACAGGAAGTAACACAACGCCGCCGCGTGCTGCTGCTGCTCCAATCAGCTGATACCCCCTCTCTCTCTTCTTCTTCTGTTTTTATGGCAGTTGGAGTGTTGGTCTACCCCGGTGCATTTAGGGACATTGTAGATGGAGAAGAAGATAATCAGCACATTTCTGCCAAAAAAAACTCAGAATTTTTCAGATTGTTTGCTGTCAAATCACATAGAAATTGTTTCCTTTTACTGGAGGAGTGTTTTCAAGATGGCCGCCAAAACCAAAACATTCGGTTGAATAACCACTAATTTGACAAACTGGAATCTTAGCTATGCTAAAGCGCTAAATACACAAAGAAAATTGTGTAAGCTAATGCTAAACTGCTAAACACATTTTTAAAAATTAGCATAAACTAATGCTAACCAGCTGGACAAATAAAAATTTGCATCAGCTGATGCTAAGCCATGAAACGCATATATAAAATTAGCAGAAGCTAACACAAAACTGCTAAACACTAAAAAAATTAGCATAAACTAATGCTAAACCACTTAAAAAATCTTAGCTCCACTAAGGCTTAACTGTTACACAAATCTAATGCTAAACCTCAAAACACATAGCAAATAGCAGAAGCTAACAATAAAGCAATAAAGACATAAAACATTTGTAGAAGCTAATGCTAAACCGTAGAACTCATAAAAGATGGCAGAAGCTAACGCTAACCGTTTAGACGGTGTTTCTCTCTGTCACACCTGGTGTGAGACTCACAAACAGAAACGTCCTCAGTTTCTGATTTTACTGCATTTTGTTGCTTTAAAGTTTTATGAACATGGTGTGCTGTGGTGGTGCAGGGGTTAAGTACAGTCCACATATGGAGGCCTCAGTCCTCGACGTGGCCGTTGCAGGTTCGATTCCCGGCCTGGCGACCTTTGCCGCATGTCTTCCCCCTTCTCTCATTACCCCCTTTCCTGTCAACTATCAAATAAAGTCCACCAGAGCTGATAAAACCTTTAAAAAAAAAAGTTTTATGAACAGAAGGAACAAAGTCAAAAACACACTAAAGTTCATCCAAGTCGTTAAAATTTATCACATTTTATGGCAATAATTAAAGAGCCTCAAAAACGGTGGCCATCTTGGAAAATGTCCTAATCTGAATATTCACTTCCTGTGTTTCTCTCCGCCTCTTCACCTGCTCCTCTTCCTCCTCAGGGTTGGATCGACAACTTCAACGGGCCGAGCGGCGTCTTCATCGCGGTGAGTGAGCCTGACGGCTTCCGTTCGCCCGGCGGCCGGATTAGGATTAGGCTAATCTGGTGTTGTGTCGCCAGGCGGGGAAGGGGATCCTGCGCACCATGAGGGCCAACAACGACGCCGTGGCCGACCTGATCCCCGTCGACGTCGTCATCAACCTGACCCTGGCCGCCGGCTGGTACACCGCCGTGCACAGGTGGGTCTGTGGGCGGGGCTTAGCTCCTCCATCAGGTGGATGATTGATTTTTACTTAGATTATAGATTATAGAGCGGCTTGACTCCTTTCCTTTCTTCTTTTCTTTCATCTTCAAGTCCTTCTGTTTTTCCTTTGTTCCTTCCTTGTTTCCTACCTTCCTTCCTCTACACTCCTTGTTTTTTTTCTTCTTTTCTTTTTCCCTTCCTAAATTTTTCTTTCCTTCCTTTCTTTTTTCCTTCATTCCTTTCTCTTAACTCCTTGTCACCTTTTCTTCTTTCCTTCCCTTCTTTCTCTACTCTGTCTCCTTCTTACCTTCCTTCCTCAGCATTCCCTGTCATATCTTCCTTTCTTTCCTTTATCTTCTTTCTTTCTTCCTTCCTTCTTTGAGTCCCACTTCCAGTTTTTCTTTCCTTCCTACCTCCCCTCCTTCCTTCCTTCCTTGCTTTCCTTTCTTCTAGTTTCTTGTCTCTTTCTTCCAGATTTAAAACTGAAATATTTACGTTAAATTCAAAAACACAAACTGAACTTTTTATCGTTTATTTTTCACGTCTGGAAAAGTTTGAAGCGTTGCCATGAAAATTTTTTGGAAGCTTCATTTAATCTCTAAATTATGGAACTCTTTTAGTGACTAAAATGTGTGTAAAATTTGAAGAAGCAGAAAAAGTTTTGGACTGTAAACATGAAAATCTGCTGCAGGTTTAATCTGAACCGTTTCGCCGTTTTCCTCCTCCGGTCTGGAAATGTTTGTCCCGTTGACTCAGACTGAGTCAGACGTTCCGCTCAGAGGGAATGAGTTGGAAAAACGCAGCCGCTCCCTTTTTTAAGGGCCAAAGATTCCAGGGAAACTGAACATTGGCAGCTGGTCAGTGACGGACGCCAGCGCCAAGTTGGGCTGATCCTGGCAGTAAAGGCCATATTTAAGGTTTTCTTTTAATCTGATAAAAGATCCATTTTTACTGCTTCACAGTTTAATAGCAGGATCATCTCATTCAGCTGTATTTAAGTACAGACTTTGACTGGGCCACTCCAAAACCTCCAATTTATGAGAGAGAGTCATCAAGAATCAAACAGAATTAGGACTGAAATGATTAATCGTGATTAATTGATCATTGAAATGATCGTGAACTAATTTAGTAATTGATTAATCGGTAACTAGAGTCATTAAAGTCAATTTAAAGCACAAATATTAGGGTTGCAATTATTAGTTGGACTTTTTCAGCTGCAGATTCCTCCTGTGATAAAAGTAATCAAGCGTTCCCTAAAGGAATGCGATGTTGCATTTTTGCCAATAAAATGTTTTTCTTATTTAAAAAATTATTTATGCATCTTTTCAGCTTTTAACATGTTTCAAAATTTTGTAAAAAAAAAAAGGTGGTTAAATAAGAAATCTGCAGATTTTGCCAATTTTTTTTATCCGATTAATCGTCAGAATAATTGATAACTAAAATGAAAGTTAGCTGCAGCCCTTCTGCAGATTTTATAAAAATGTGGCTCATTGAGGAGGTCAAACCTAAAAAGAAATGTTTATTTCCATTTTTAACGAATCTTGTGGTCGGCGATTAGGTTTAATTTGCTGTTTTTGTTCCACAGGGCTCAAAGTTTGGAGGCTCTGTGTGAAAATATGAACATTTATTGTGTCTAAAACAGACACGAATCACATTTTAAGGCACTTTTGGACCTGGATCTCTTGTTTTGCAGGCCTAAAACGGCTCTGGTGTACAACTGCACGACTGGCAGCATCAACCCGTTCCACTGGGGCGAGATCGGTGAGTACGCGCCGCGCCGCCCTGATGCTAACGGCAACCCGCCGCTGCAGGTCGATGCGGCGGTTTGGGCCCATCATCTCAGTTTGCCTCAGTTCGCCGCTTCATCACAGATCAATCAGCCGCCTCTGACTCTGCGGCTGCCATGACGCCTGCAGTGGAGGATTAAGGCTGGGAAAGGCTGCCACCTGCTGGACAGACGTAGAAACTCATCCAGACTCCATGTTTACTGAAATAGAGATTAATTCTCATCTGTAGGTTGTGGGCTCCCACGCTAAATAACATCCCAGACTGTCGTTAAGGATTAGTCTGGAGAAATGTCAGAGATTAACCCGGTGATTGCTAATTAATTCTGCGGTTGAGGGGAAACGCTCGTTTGTAATCCTCCGTCGTCGCCGGGCTGCAGCAGGCTGGAGGAGCTGCTCGTTACCGAATGAGAGTCAGTTTATCTGCGTTGGTCTGAATCTGATGACCAACCGAAACACCTGAAATCCCAAACTTTATTCCTAATTCTGTTGCCGGGAAGAAAAACTACACATAGCCGTCTATCCATCCGTTCTTTCCTCGATAACTTTAGTTTGTATTTTAAATCTAACGTTAAAATCGTCAGACCAAATCAATCCGATCCCTTCGCCGTTCCCAGATTAACAAACTTCCCGCAGGAATCACAACCAGATGGTTTCTGTAGATCCAGATGTTCCAGATGTTATCGATCCGCAGCTGGCTGTCACCTCAGATCCGCTCCTGTCGGCATGGAAACGAGGCCGTGACGTAACGTCTGCTGGTCACATGGCTGCGTCTCTGGACTGGGCGTCCTGATAAAGGTCAAAGGTTACCGTGGGACGTTGGGATCCTCCTGAGCGGCTCCACCCGTCATGAAGGTGGTGCTGAACGCTGCACTGTAAAAGCGGCGTGGCGGCGTTTAGCGTCAGGGAGGCAGAGCTTAGCGCAGATTATCCCAAACGCACAAACCTTCTGTTCCCTCGGGATTTCACAGGAAACGCTTCCCTGACACATTTTTCATCATCTGGATTTAAAAAACATTCTCCTCTCACCTCTTTCTCCCGATCCGAACAAAACTGAACTTGATAAAAAAATGTTCAGATTAAAGCTGCAACTAACGATTATTTATTAATTATTTGAATAAAAAAAAAAATTGGCATTTTTCAGTTAGACAATATTAGATAAAAAGATCCAAATCATTTCTTCTTTTAAACAAGAAAGTTAAAATTTTATTGCCTAAAAATAAAGGCACATACTTTTAGTGGATCCTTGATCACTTGCAAATTAATTGATTAGTTTTTTAATTGAATCATAAAATGTGTTAATTGGGTTTTTTCTGGTTTTTGCAGAATTTGAACAAAGAGAAGCTAAAATTATTCCACTTTAAAACTAATTTACAAATGATTTTTTTTTATCTTAAATGCTAAAAAAACTGAACGGTTTTGTAGTGTTTTTGATTTTGTGTAATCCAGCTAACGATTATTAATCGGACGATTATTTCCATAAACAATCCGATTAATCATTTCATCCCGGGTCGTCTGTGTCTCTTATTTAACTCCAAATCAATCCAGTCATGTTCTTCATTAAATTTGTTTCTCATTCAAACAATGAAGGTTTGGTCCAATTTCTGACCACGCGTTTTGTTTGCAGCGACAATAATTAAAAAGCTTTTTAGTCTGTATAGCGATTAATCGCCAAACTAGTTGATTTCAGTAAGTGATCAGTGGTTTTGTGTGTTTTTGTCTCCTGACAGAGCACCATGTCATGTCGTCCTTTAAGAGGAACCCGTTGGAGCAGGCTTTCCGCAGACCCAACGCCAACATCACCTCCAACTACCTGATCAACCAGTACTGGATCCTGGTCAGCCACAAGTTCCCGGCCTTCATCTACGACCTCTTCCTCCGTCTGTGCGGACAGAAGCCGCAGTGAGAACCGCGAACATCCGCTTCCTCGGTTTGCTGCGTGTCGGAGATGTTGGTCTGCATTGAAGGTTTGTTCTTCCCTGCAGGATGATGCGCATCTTCAACCGGCTGCACAAGGCGATCCACCTGCTGGAGTACTTCAGCAGCCAGGAGTGGGAGTGGAACTCGGAGAACATGAGCATGCTGATGGGCCAGCTGAGCCCCGAGGACAGGAAGGTCAGCCGGACGCCGACGCCATGTCTCACTGAGACGATGCGCGACGTTGTTCTTCCAAGCTTGTTATAATCATAACTGCAGATGCAGCAACGCTACGGCTGGATGATACGGCTTGTTTGGGTTCTTTTCCAAAAGAAAAGCAGATTACGACAGAAAATCTTTTCAGAAACTGGCTCTTATTTCTTTTATCCCTTCTGAAATATGAAGACCTGGCTCAGAAAACAGTCACAATATCAGCAGAATAAAGTCCTAAAGTTACGACAAAAAAGTCATTTAATTAATAAAAAAATCTTCTAGTTATCGATATCTTTAATCTGATGTGTTAAAAGATGAAATGTCGTAAAACTTATCCAGAGTTTAACTTTACAAGATGCTCAACATTCCTCAATTTAATGTTTTACAATTTATTTCTTCATTCTCCTGTTTGTCCTGGCAGCATTAACTCTTTATTCTCACATTATTTCCACTTTATTGTCGTACAATTTCATTATAACATAATTCTTGTGATTAAAAAATAAAATGTCCTGATATTCTGCCATCCAATCAACCTGAATTCAAAGTCCAAATAAAAGGAAACCGTAAAACACACTTGTCATCAAGATGGCCGCCCTGGGCTCGATGACATCACTCATCGCTATGGAAACCCCAGGAGAGCATTGGTTAAAAAAAAACAACTAAATCTTCAAAAACCAAAAATGTGATTAATCAGTTTTATTTTAAGTGTTTTGAGGGAAAATCGCAGGAAATTTAAGCAGTTGATGTTGTTAAAAAGCGCCAAAGAGTTTTAGTTGTTTTATTAGTCTGAACGGATATAATCTTTAAAATGAACTTTTTTATTTATCATCCTGAAAATGAGTTTCTGACTCCATCCTTCGGTGTTGACATTCTTCCTCTGTGGTTTTTGTTTTATTGAACTCCCCTTCGTTTTCCCAGACATTTAACTTTGACGTGCGTCAGCTGAACTGGCCCGAATACATCGAGAACTACTGCATCGGCACCAAGAAGTACGTCCTGAACGAAGACATGTCCGACATTCCTGCTGCCAGGCAGCATCTCCGGAAGTAAGTCAGCTGCAAAAACACTAAAGTACTTTGTTTTTAGAGAAAACTGTGTATTAAATAGGTGGAAGTTACTGGGTGATTTAAAAAAAGCTAAAGCTACTGGAGGACAAAGAGCTGAGCTCTGGTTGCTATGGTTACTCCCTCCATTTCTCTGAAGGGGGGGAGGGGCAATCCTGTTGTTTAAATGTAGATTTTGAGATCATGTGTAAAATTTTGCATGTTTTATGTAGAAGATATGATTATTTAAAGAGAATTTATGGATTTTTCTTTTGTCTTTTCTGATCAACCCTAGTTATGTTTTTAAAAACCTGCAGCCACTACCGCAGGTCCAGGGATAAATGAAAGGTCTGGGTTTGGACCTTACTGGTGTATTTGGTTGTCCTCCAGGCTGAGGAACATCCGGTACACCTTCAACACCCTGCTGGTGGTCTTCATCTGGCGGGTATTCATCGCCCGCTCCCAGATGGCCAGAAACATCTGGTACTTCGTGGTCAGCCTCTGTTTCAAGTTCCTCTCCTACTTCCGTGCTTCCAGCACCTTAACCAACTGAGTCTTCCTCACAGCCTTGAGCCGGGGTCAGGCAGCCTTCGCCTTCAGCTGTCAGCGGTAAAAATAAAAAAACAAAACAAAAAGAAGTCACCTTAAGCTCAGACGTTCCTGACGTGGACGAACAGGGCTCTCCCTACGGACGTCTGCGGCTGACAGAAGGAAAATAACGAGGTCTATTTGCTATGTAGTTACTGGTTGAGTTGGGAAACTTGACATTCCCGTCAGAAAAACCCTGTCCTACAGAGAAAGTGGTGTCTTTTTATTTTCTACCTAATGTTTCCTTCAAAGTGGCCAATTATATATGCAACGATACGCCTTCTGTGTGACTTCCCACTTCCTTCCCCGACCTCCTGCCTTGTGACAGATCTGTGTTTTCCATACTTGAAATACGTCATTGCAGCAGAGGTGGACGAACTCTACGTACTTATTTTTATTTTAACTTGTTTTATTCTCTTGCATTCTGTGCATCTACTGCCTTTTTAAGATGACAGTCCAGACGGTTTGCCCACATGACATGAGACAAGCTAGGCTAGCTTCTGGCTGAATTACGACCGGGATGTCTGAGGGTGAACCTGAATGCTCATCTACTTTGTTTGTACTGAACTGGTTTTACTACTTTTACATCTTTATACTTGCACCAAAAGAGCAAGTCTGATTGTGTGTTAGACCTCGGCAGTGTGGCATATATACATAATAGTACATCAGAGTGGAGTTTATTTATATAGCGTAGTAGAAACTGTAGATGGTTCCTTAAAATGGTCCTAATCAGGGTTTTGAGAGGATAACCTCCAAAATTTTAAAATGAAGTGGATCCCCGGTTTAAAAACACTCAGCTACCGACTTTAACAGCTAAAAACACAAGAAATATCTTAATTTGCATTGATATGCACTGTGGAAACTGTTTTAGCATTACTGTACACTCTTCCATATCTCCGCTCTTGTTCATTCGTGCTGATCAAACAAAATGGCGACATCTGCAGAGCGTCTGTTCGATGATCAATGTTTTGCTTTATGATACAGAAGCTCAGTGAAGGGAAACTTAAAAAATGGTTGTTGAAATGCAGAAGATCCAGATTTAGCAGAAAGAAGGCGCCATCTTGTTTGTTCGGGCTATAAACAGAATGCTAGCTAGCTAGCTAGCTCAAGCTAGCACTGCGTTATCTGGGCTAACCTTTCCAAGTTCCTGCTCGGCAATCAGTCCAGGTAAAAATATTGATTCATCAATGCTATGCAGTTCATTTTTCCAACTAAATGTAATTTTTTAAAAGCCTGTGAATCAATTGGATATCTCAACAATAAAACAGTTCCTCATCTTGAGTTTATTTCCAAATATAAATTGTACGTATTAATAACCTAAACCAGCCGATCACAAACTAAATCAGCTGTTCAGATGCACAGATGTTTCCCCAAAACACAGCTCACCGCTGCTGTTCTAAACTAACAGTTTAATATCATTTCTGTGCCGTCGGCACCAATGAAAACTAATGGCGCTCCTGTATTGGTTGCTTCACAAACGACACCAGTTGCACTCCGTTGAGGTATTTTAGGTGCATTTTCTTTCAAATAAATCAGATTTACTCTACGAGAAGAATCATGTTCCGAAGAATCAGAAGAAAAATCTGCGAAAACCGAACAAGCGGCGGTCCACTGCACTGAAGACGAATGAAGGATTATGATGCATCTAATGCTAAAGAACTCAAAGCAGTTTTTAAAAGTATTTGTTGGGGTGTGTGGAGTGTTAGGTGAACGATTCAGAGTGAAATCAAAGCTGTAACCGTTAGCAACAGTTGTGTTTCTCTGAAAAGATACACTCTGAAGGTTATTTCAGCACGCAGTGCAGTCGAGTCGTCTGCATAGATGCTCACTAGCAGGCTAAATGCTAATACAAAAGTGGGTTGGGGGCGGGGACATCAGGGGCCCGAGTACACAACCATGAGGGACACCACATCTGACCGAATGGAGAATCGCTGCTGTTTAAGGGAGTAGACCTGTTTGGTGTGGTTGGTATCCAGTTTTAGAAGAAGAAAACTTTAGTTACCAAAAACTTGTATTTGTTGAATCACTGCTGTATTCACAGGACCACAGAGCTTCCCTCTAACTACAACAAGTATTTAACGTGAAGTCTGAGGCGGCCGCTGTTGTCTGCTTTCAAACTGAATGAGATTTCATGGGAGAAAAAGGGAAGAAACTAAATGTTTATGCAAAACTCTGGTTTTGTTGTGTGTGTGCGTCGGTTCGCGCTCGGACTGCGTGATGAATCGGTTTTGTCAGGTTGTCCCCAAAGAGCTACAGGGCTATCTTCATGCCGTCATCCATGTTTGTCCGTTTGGTAACAGCACTGTCTTTGTTCACTCAAAACGCGACGTTCTGCCGGCGCAAACGGCAACACATGACCGAGAACATCTTATTCTCACTGGTGTCATTTTTGCAAATTGTTTGACCACCTGTGTTCCCCGCTCTAACGAGATTCAGTCTGCTTGGCAAAACTGAAATAAAGAGGATAAAAAAGCGCATCTGTGCTGCTGTCTGTTGCTTTTTCAGGAAAATATTCTCCTGCTGGTTGATACTTTTACATTTTAAGGGATTATCTCTATTTAAAAAAAAAAAAAAAGATTTTTGTTTGCATTCTTTTAATCTGTTAAATAACAAATCATACGACATTTTAACCAATTAAAACTCAAATTTACAGTCACTAAAACACAATTAAAGCATTTACTGGGGGGATATTTAACCTACAGTGCAATGAAGGATATGAATTTTACTGAAACAAACATCTTCCAGAGATGACGGTCTTTAGATCGCAGTGAGACTAGAGCGGAGCGTTTCCCACCAGAAGAGGAGCTTGGTGGTGGTTCAGGTGATTCAGCTGCAGCTCCTGCAACAGATTCAGTGGTTAAAGCGTTTAGACGCTTCCATCCATGGGTGTGTTCATGTCCAGAACCGATTCCACCGGACTCACCTGTCTGGGTCTGTAGGCGCCGACCCTAAAGCGACAGCAGACGATGTCGAAGCAGAACCCGACCAGGTTGTGAAGCATGCCTTCAAGCAGGAAGACGGGTTTAAAAATAAGAGTATTTTTAACATGCCTGCAGGAATTGTAGGTGATTATTCAAATCCTGATGCGTTTGGTGGAAGCTAGAACATTAAATGGTTTTGGTTTGATGCTAAAGGAAACATGGAACCAGAGGTCCAAAAGTTCAGACTGAAGAATTCAAGGTAAATACAAATTCTGTAATTCAGAAATAATGTGAAATGTTCATGTTAAAAGTTGAAAAGTTCAATTCTGGAATAAATTTCAGGCAAATATAATAAAGATCAGTCAGAAACCCCAGATGGATGGATGGATGGATGGACGGACGCCTGGAGGCCCTGCTGTATGGCTGGACAGAGTGTGGTCCTCCCAGGCTACCGTAGCTGGTAAACATGGCCGCCGACTCGCCTGTGGTGGAGAAGATTCCGCCTACGATGCCGCAGAGCCGCACCAGGAAGCGTCCCAGCGCCATGTGCTGCTCGCTCACCGTCACCATCAGGGAGCTGGTGTCGTACTTCACGAAGATCCCCGAGACGCCATGGCTGCCCGCCGCGTGGTTGATCACCCGCTCCTCACACACACACACACACACACACACACACACACACACACAGTTAGCACACACACTCGGGTTCGCCTGAAGCAGTCGGCCTGGCCACTCACTCGCTCCGTCACGGAGAACTGGTGTGTGTCTGCGGAGATCAGGTGTGTGTTCAGCTTGGTGGGAACCACTGTGATGAAGTACTGGTACATCTGGTTATCTGCAGACGGGACAAAAACGGACCCAAAGCGCGTTTATACTTATTTAAAACTAACTTATTTAAAATTAACTTTTCAGCAAGATATAGGAGCTTCTTTTAAGTAAATACTTCCTTAATATTTGTTTTAAAAACCACTACTTCCACTGGTAGATTGACACTTCTAACAAGATATTTCCCCCATGCTATAAGTGAAATAAGTTTTTCATTTTAGTAGTTTTAAGTCTATAAAGCACTAGCTTCATTGGCAAATTTTTTTCACTTATGGGAAAAATGTCGGCTTATCACAGAAAATATTTGGAAGAGTAACTTGTACTTTTTATCAAAAGTGTTAACCTAAAATAAGTTCCAATATAATTTACATGTGAGTTACTTTTCTTTTATTTCACGTGTACTAAGATATTTACATATTTTATTTTTGCAGTATACGCATTTCTGAACCCACTTGGGTCTCAAAAAAACAAAAAAAACTTTATATATTTTGGTGTCTGAAAAACGTCAAACCTCCCGAATGTTGATTAATAAATGAGCAGAAACTGACCTAGTGACCCCAGGGAAGCCTAGCCCGTTACTTAGCAACCACGGCAGAGTTCCACCCCGTTACCTAGCAACCCAAACCGAGTTCCAGCACGCTTGCTCAAAATAGGCAGAACGGACAAGGATAATTTTGTACAAAAGAGGTATACTGCATAGACGTATTGTAATCTGTTTGGTCAATAAAAGACAAAAGGCGCCATTTTGTCTCTTAGATTGAATAAACTCACTGTTGTAGGTGATTTTCTCGGTGCCGTCCAGAGGATTGATTATGCCTGGAACCTCTTCGCCAAAAGATAAATGGTCAATTCGATGGGAGAAGTTGTACGCTGCAGAAAGACAAAGTTTTTAGTGCAAATATCTTACTACAGTTAAAATAAAGAAAACTAACGAAGTAACTTTTCAGCATTTTATGGGAGCTTGTTTTAAGTGCTGATTTTAAAAAAGTACTAGTTTGAAGTGAAATAAACCTACCAGTGAAACAAGAGATTTTAAATTACAATATGGGATAAATACTCTGTTCCACTGGCAGATTATTAAAATATTTTCTGTCATTTCTAAAGTTTTTCATTTTAAAAAATCCATTAAAGTTGGACCTGGTAGAGGGGACGTTTCTTACCCTCGTGACTCACAAAAGCAGCGATGTGAGCGTGGCCCTGCGGATGGTGAATCGGCCTAAAAAAGACTAAATGTTAGTCAGGAGATTAACTTGACGTGTGTTTTTCTAACATTTTGGAAATTTAATATCAGTACCAAAAAAATCAAGGTGATCTAACAAAATGTTTTCCTTACAATGTAATGAATAAATAAATAAACCATGCAACGTGAAAATCCAGCTGAGAATTAAGACAAAGGGGCCAACCAAGTATTTTTTAGTTTCTAGTGCAAATATATTACTACACTGAAAACACAACAAAAACTAACTTATAGGTAACTTTTCACCAAGATATAGGAGCTTGTTTTAGGTTAATAATTATTGAATATTGATCAAAAACTATGAGTTATACTGGCAAAAGAAGACATGCCAGTGTAATTAGTATTTTTATTATTGACTAAAAAACATGCTCCTATATCTTGGTGAAAAGTTTTTGTCTTATTTCAAATGAACTAAAATATTTGCACAAGAAACTAAACAAAAATACTTAAGATTTTATGTTTCTACAGTGTAAATTTTTTCCAGTACTTCCATTTGTGTTTCTACTGCTTCTAAAAACGGCCCAAGTGTTTAAAAAAAAAAAAAAAAAAAAAAAGTTAAATGGAAAAAATTTAAAATTTTTTGGGTTCGAAAAATTTTC